AAAAGGTTAAGAGCAGTGAAACAACAGCGCAGTATACCTGACAGGCAACTCAGTAAGTGATACAATCATAAAAATCTCCCTTGAACGAAACCCAATACCGAGTTTGACTCAACGTGTTAGTAGACACATCTGTCTGTGTGATAGACAGGTCTGTTTGACATATGAGCTCAAAATGCATTTCGCTTTCTGAAGGTCGGTGTCACCTAGATTCGTATAGGAAAGGTACTTATAACCCTAAAAATAGTATACCGCCACATTCCAAATATCTCTTAGCCAAATTAACCAATTTGGACCAAAATCCTCGCAAACATTTAATAATACCTTACAAACACCAACCAATGAACCATATCGGTTACATGACGGCTGATATGCTACTTGGTACCATAAACTTGAGTAGTTGCAGTGGAATTTTAGTCATCGAATGACTAGTTAAAGATTGAGTCTCTTGCGTAATGAATCACAACGATACATTTCGAACGTCCATCATATTTTCTTGTCTACCAGTACGTAAAGCCTAGCATAATCTTGACCCTAGCAGGAATTAGAGGTTAGGTGTCGACTTTTGTCTAAGCCTTACACTGGGTGGTGATGTTCAACTAAACGTTTCTCCAAAATGCTCTAATGCTGGATCACCACATCAAACTTTCGCCTCAGCAGTCCCGATAAACATGAACAGCTATTATTAATTTGACTACCTTTTGTACCTCCTCTCTCTCTCCTTCACTACTAATTATTATTCTGTGTTTAAAAAGACTTCCCCAGTAAAAAACGTTGACTGAATTAGACTGAAAAAAGGTTAAGTTGGCAGACCAAGACAATATCAATTCATGCTTTTGGCCATTGACTCAGCCCATGTAGATAAATGTCGACCTGGGGAGTTTGTTTCGACGATCCCGACCAGTAAGTCTTGTTAATCAAGAAAATGGTACTACTTGACACAATGAGTACATGAAACTCGCCCACTTATTATGTTGTAACACATAAGGTCTATCTGATTTTCTTATATATATGCGTGCGCCGAACGGGAATACAGCACAAACCTTGTTGAAAATACTGCACCATCTTCTTTTATTTCTTTGACTTCTGGTTTTGGAGGAATATACTCTTCATTATCTATGAGTAAGTTTAGTAGAAACTAGAAATTACCATCTTCATCAGTCTGTTGGATGGTTGTCGTAGAAGTATTCAACTTACAATCACCTTCTACAGGATTTCGCATAAAATTAGGAATGTTTGAGAACTGGAAGAGTGATTGTGGAAACTGCATATTAGCAGTCGTAATGGGTGGCAAACCAAACGAGAATAAAGACTTGCTAGCCGCAGAATCAGTCGCAGTGCCAGACGTCGCTGAAGATTTTGATACAGCATTGCCGAAGGTAAAGACTGAGCTTGTAGTGCTGCTAGCTAGAGGTTTACTAACTTCTGTTGTGTTGATAACAGGAAAGCAACTCGAATCCTTTTTTTCATCTACTGAGATATCACCTGATGACTGTTTAGGAAACTTAGAGCTTATTTCAGACAGGTGTTTGTCATAGTCGGAGAATATTGGACTAAGAATACAGAATGGATCTTCTTTTATATGCTTTGAAATCCAATCAAGCAAATTTTGGTTGAGAGCTTGCAAATGCCCAAGATACTCAGCTTCTTCATTCTTATGCCCATTTTGCATAACACCTATAGGAGTCGGGCCAAAGTTAAATGACGGTGCTTTTGTATTTGAACAATTAGAAAAAGCTGTAAATGATTTGAAAAGTCCAGCAGTCCCCGTGTTCTAAAGGATTAGACATGAATACAATTAAGTCTTACAGATGGCCGATTTGCACGAGGTGTTATAATTTTTCTCTGCGAAAGAAGCTCTTTATTTGCTTTTTCGAATGTTCCTTCACTTATTGGCTTCAAATCGTCATCCCAGTTATCTTGGTTCAACTCTATATCCGCTCGCCTCTTGGCCATCTGGTGTAACGCCAAACTGATACTTTCCGCTTTTTTTCAAACATAAGTTTCAAACTTCCTTTTGTAGAAAAACTAGGTGATTGTTCCTCAGATTTCTTGGTGAGCTTTCTTTGTTTCGAATCATAAGAGGTTGCATCCAGCCCCTGATAAGCCCAAAATAAAAAACTTATTATATTTTATTAAACAGTCCTCTTCCTGTAAGGACACTACTCATTATCTGTAATACTAGGGGAAGTCTCATGAGTCAGAACTGATGTTTCCGAAGCAGGGAGTGGTGATTCTTCCACTTCTTAGCCTTTGTAATGGGAAAAGAAATTTGTTTTCAATGGTAACAGTTCCTGTCCTAGCTCCTAGAAACCTGTAATGACAGACGGTCAGCTATTTTAAATCAGACGTCTTGTCTTAGTCCTGTTTCCCAATGTCCATAAGACGACAGTAAGCTTATGAATCCATCCCGTCTCTAAGAACAATGACCTGTATTCGTCTGGTGTATTGAAAGCGTTAACAGAAGTGACTGAATCAATTTATTCTTGAGGGAGATCTACGGTTTACAACACTAACCGCAAATGAACTAGCACTAATTCTCAGTTGTGCACCTTTATGCTCCATCCCTAAAGTGAAGCTCCTAAGGCACTGTCTTTGAAAAGAATGGACCTTGAGCCAGTCCTCTCAAAGTTTGTAAAACCAGCCCGAGGACCCCATAAGCTCAATTCGTCATAAGATGACAACAAACGGAAGTCACGAGTGTCACCACAGCGTAACTGTGAGATCGCCTCCAATGTTTCAGTATGATATATCTGTTCTACACTTCTAGGGGGTAAGGACGAGAACTCCACCTGTTTTCATCTACCATCAACGTCCCACACCAATTTATCTGAAGATCAGCCAGGTTTCCCACCATCTAATTTAGCATTTTATGCAAGTCCTTCCAGAAGACAGAGATATCCGCTGGCTCTTTCATCTCCCTCAGAAACTTCAGATCATAAGCACAGTGTTTGGTAATTAAGGATTGCTGGCGTGTTACCTGGAAGAGCAGCGGGCAGCGGAGCAGTAGTAATGGAATCCTGGAGCACCCCATCGATTATGGAAAGTCATTTACGCAGGAAGGATGCAACTCCCACTGACTGCAACAGACTTTAAGGACACCCTTAAACAAACTGAGTAACTTCCTCTGCGCAGTCATTGCTCGAAGTGTCTTACATAATATGTCATGATCGGCCCCGTTAAAGACCTTACAGAAGTCTGATAAATGGACACGAGCAAACTTTCGTAACTCAGCAAAAACAGTTCAGCTGCTCCAGGCTTTCAACAATTGGTTTCGAATGACGTAACAAACCCCGAGTGGGAGTAATTAGAGAGGTGCTCAACCAAGGATTGTTCCTGCAGTAATCCCGAAATTTTCTTGAAAGAATGAATATATTGGTGGCGGTGAAGAGCTGTGGAAGTTTAAGGTTACGCTCAATTAGAACCTGGTGACAGTTCAAATCGAGAGAGCATCTTGTGCACTGGATCAGGCTTTTTTCTGATTTTTACGGCAGCAACAATCTAAAGTGATTTCAAATAATTTGAAACTCAACGAAGTGTGCAGTATTTTGTTCTCGGACGAAACTCTTTCAGTATTCACACGTTTGTCAGAGGAAGCGCATATTGTTAGGTGGGTGAATTTTCGTATAGCATATGCATTTGAACTATCTGAGACATTTGTCCGATTAAGTGCAAAGTGATGTCAGGATGGCTAAAAGTGTCTGTGTATCCCCAAGGTCTGTTTAACGCTGCCCATCATGCGCACCTAAGGTGCTTCTAGAGACCAATTTCTCCCCGAAATTTCCAAAACTATCATTAGGTGCTGGTGCAACCAACTAGATGACACTCAGGTCACAGACATAGGACCTAGATGCATGAAGCAGACCGGAAGAAGATTCATATGCCTTACCATGGATAACCTGTATTTACTGAAAGGAGGTCCGACAGATTATGTGCAGAAGTTTCTCCCTATCGTGTGTTTGAGCCCAAAATCTCTTGTTGGCCCTCAGATTTAGAGTAGCGGAAGTTTGAACATCAGATTCAGGACAATTTTGGAATGCCCGAAGTGAGCCAGTAGTTAATTCAGGCTCCATTCTGACGCAGCAAGTTCTCAGTTGCAGTTTAATGTGAGAAGTAGACACGAATTTTCCCAGTGTAACCAATATTTGCCACCTGACAGTGACACGCGTCAGCCTGGCGTATGCAGAAAGTGATCGTGATTAAATTCATTCTTTCGGTCGTTATCAAATGATCATCACAAACGACTGACTGCTTGAAAAATGATTGAACGCTTTCCGAGGGCCAGGTTTGGTGATTTCATCTCATATTTTGTTTGACTTACGGTCTATTCTTCCCCTGTATAGTTTTAGGCACTGCCGCTGCCAAGCTTCCATTTTGACCTCCTGCTTCCGAAACGCGACATAGAAGACAGTGTAACAGGAAAATACTATGATCCGCTGTCTCCTGAATTCACCATCTGGCCCACAGCCATGTGCCCTACGAAAATCAGAAATTATACCTCTCATTCACGGACACCACCGTGTAAAATAAAACGCCATCAACACAGTCGAATGGAGCAGAAGTGCGCTCGGTTAAAACTCATGCAATCACGCCCTCCCAAACTCCAAAAATTATTACCAGTGGATTGGAATATTATGGTCTTCACATCGGCAGGAAAATATTGTACAGCTCGGCACTACATAAGAAAATTAGCTTAGTGATGTTCTTGTTCATAGAACCATTGCTCATAGCAAGAGAGGCATGCATATTAGCTAAAAACCTTACAAAACGTCTGCGTCAAGTATACGGGGTCCTCCACTGTTAGCTGCACAGAACAAGATCGTTCTCGTCTCACTATTCACTCGAGTCCGTAACCGAGATTTAGATTTTGGCGTATGCAAGGATCAAGTTCGTGGAACAGTTTAAATACAACGTGGCCACTTTGAAAGTATCTGATCAGCTCAGTTTATGAGGTTTCATAACGTTTTCAAACTTGGTCTGCACAGACGTTACCCTGGCTTGCATTCCGATAGTTGATAATTGCGAATCATTAGCGTCGACCAGTTATTTGTGAATACCAAGTTTCCACTGTTATACCAAACAAAAACGACCGGGGTATGATGCCATTTGGGCTCCCGTGCCGGGTGCAAGCACATCCAGCCGATCAGCCACAAATAGGACGAAGTGCTCATCCCAGATTCCACTCACTGCCACAATCAAACAAGTCATATAGGATCAGTGTTGTCCGGGTCCGGGTTAAAGCGGAAGGCAAATGAAGGGAAAAGCTGCATCTGAAGTCAATGGTCATTTAGGCACTCCACCTTCAGGAAACAAGTAACTCTTCTCCGGTGAAACGTGGCACACTTCTGGATCACTACTTTGGCGGTCAGGAAGCATTTTCACCTGAACCGAACGAACGCTGAGTTTCAATAATTCCTACAATCTGTATGCAATTTGATACAGCTCGTGAGAGGGCAGGTGGTTACTTCCGTCGCTCTCTATTATTATTATTATTATTATTTGTCCCTTGGGTTCCTAGTGGAACATAGAGCTTCAGTAGCACGTCTCCATTCCACTCTCTTCTCTACAATCTCATGAACCTGGCTCCACGACTGCCCAGAAGCTCTCATTTCTTTCTCACACGATCTCTTCCATGTCACCCTCACCTCGGACGACCAAGTCGTCGTTTCCCATCTGGGTTCCAATCGAGTGCCTGGTCTGACGCGTGATGTCCCCAAATGGTCTTTTCAGTGCATGCCCAATCCATCTCCACTTCCTTCCGCATATTTGTTGAGCGATAGGTTCTTGCTTCGTTGGTTCGTTGCCGGAGTTCCTTGTTGCTTATTCTTATTATTCTGGCCATCTGATCTTCAGTAACAAGCCAGCGTAGGGGGCAGTTGTTGGTGAATATCTGTAGTTTGTTGGAAGGGCTTTTCGTAACGCATCAGGTTCCCCAACCATGACATAGAAGCACTGACTTGACGTTGGTGTTCAAAATCCCTATGTTGTTCACGCTTGATGGTGAGTGGAGTGCAGAAGATCTCCACACTGATTTCAAGTTAAGGAACGCTTCTCTTGCTTTTCCGATCCTGACTTTGGCGCCCTCCTCTGTGCCACCTCTAGTTGAAACAGTGCTTCCTAGATAAGTGAAAGAGGCTACTTCATTTAAGTTTCTCCGGCTGATGGTGATTGGAGCTTGTTGTTGTTAGTGGTGGCGTTGGTTAGGCATCACCCTCACCTGTGTCTTCTCTATGTTCACTTGAAGTCATGTCTTCGCTGCTCTGCCTCGCCTTTTCTGTCAGATTGTTAGTTTTCGCCTGTAAATCTTCAAGTTTGTGAAATTAGACACAAGTCATCGGCGAAATCTAAATCTTCTAGGCTCTTTGACGCGGCCCAGCGCATCCTCCTCCTTTCGCACCTCACTGTTTGCCGCATGGTCCAGTCCACCACAACCGGGAAAATCATCGGTGACTGTAGGTAGCAACCTTGTCTTACTCCTGTCTTCACTTCGGTGGCATCATTGAGCTTCCCATTGTGAATTACTTGGCATGTGGCATCTTCATATAGTTGTTGAATGAGGCGGATAAAGGTTTGCGGTACTCCGTAGTATTGAAGCAGTTTCCAAATTACTTCTCGGTCGACGCTGTCAAAGGCCTTCTCAAAGTCGATGAAGTTGAGGCAGAGAGCTGATTGCCATTCTATACTCTGTTCTACGATGATGCGAAGCGTTGCAATTTGGTCTGCACATGATTTGTACTTCCTGAAGCCTGCCTGTTCGGGTCGTCGTTATGACTCCGGTGCATCCCTCAGTCTCTCCAAGATGATGCGGCATAATACTTTGCTTGCTTTGCGTAGACAGGGATAGGAGCGCGATTCCGCGCCAGTTCTTGATGCAGAGTATACAGACAGGACAGACCCTGCAAAAAAGGAGGTGGATGTCTTATCTATGCATCGAGTAATATTATTACTGATACCTACTC